AAAAATAAATAAATAAAACCACCCACCCCTGGGATGACGGAGAGGGCAGCCTGGAGCAAAGGAAAACAGAAGCTGTTTTTCAGAATTAATGCCTCTTCTTTTAGACCAGGGGCCAGCAAACTTTTTTGTAAAGGTTCAGATACAAAATACCTTCAGGCTTTGAAGGCCAAATGGGTCTCTACCAGAACTATTCAACTCTGCCACGTGTCACATGAAAGCAGCCACAGGGAAGATGTACACGAACGGTAAGAGTTTGGTTCTAATAAACTATTTACAAAAGCAGGCAACGACCTGGATTCGGCCTGCAGGGATTTGTCTGTCAACCCTGCTTCAGAGGATCAGGGGAGGGAAGGGGAGAAATCAGAGAAGAAAGAGGGACCAACCAATATGGCAGCTGGAAATCACGGAGAAGCAACGATTAAGAAGAGGCACCTACAAGGACCCCATCTTTGGCCAGACAGAAACGGGGGGAGAGACCTCCTGCTGAGCTCCCGCCACCAGGGCTGGCTTTCCTGGTCCCATCACAGGACCCCCTCTCCGCTCCCAAACCATGCCAAGAGCACGCATGGCCGGCCGAATGCCCGGCCCGCTCACCAGGTCCTGGTCAGGAGAATCATACGGGGATTCCCACTTGATGACAGCCGAGGTTTTGCCGGTGCGAACCACATGCAGGTGACGAGGTGGGAGCCTGTTGTCTGGGATCATCCTTACCACAACGTAGTCGGAGGACGGCCCTAGGTAGGGCACCACCACCCGGACCTGAAACAAACATCCATGGACGCACGCAGTCTGTGCTAAGACTTTTTTTTTCCCTCCCCCCACAAAACAGTGACACACGTACCCAATTATGATTCAATCATTGCAAAAGAAGACACAGAATGTAAGAGAACTCCCCACCCATCCCAGATCTCTAATCCATTTTCCCAGAAGTATCGCTGGAAATGGTCTTAGGTGCTTCCTGCCCGGTGTCCCGTGCACACGTTAAGCGCAGATCTACACACGCGTGCCTCCTACACATGCGTGTCTACGTGCGTGTGCGTCTAGGTAGCCTCTTCTTCTTAATTTTTTTATACAAATGAGAAAATGTTACACGGCTCGTTAGGCTCTTCGCTTCTTGCCATTAATAACAGAGCCCAGAGATGTCTCCCCCTCGGTACGGGGCTCTCTGTCTTTTGAAGGGTTGCCCTGTAGTTCATTGCAAGGATCAGCCATGCTCTTCTTAACCAGCCTTGGCAGCCACGTGTTTCAAACCTTCTGCTGTCACCAGCAAGAGCGCACCAGACACCTTTCTCCAGAGATCTTGGCACACATGACACAAGTATGTGGGCTAAGTTCCTAGAAGTGGAGTCGGACAAAGTGGTGTGTGTTTCTGTTCCTGCTGCGACCCATCTGCCGAGTTCGCAATCCCCCACCAGCGAGCCGCGGTGGGTTAAGGGGTCATTCGTTCTGTTTTTCAAGCAGGAACTTGCTGCTGCCACAGAAGAGGAACTACCCTCTCCTCACACACTCAGATCCTGGAGTCCCGCGTCCAGCTCCCCCGGTCTCGGTCTGAGCGAGGCGCCCGGGATCTAAGCCATCCTTAAAGAACAGAAAGTCCTCTGGACCCCCTGGTACGGGAACCTTACCAGAAACAAATACTGCTCATCCCTCCTGACAATGACTGTTTTGTTGTGGAGTGAAGTAGTCAAGCTCTTCGGACTGCGATACAGGTCAAGGAAGGATGTAGCGTAGAAAATGCCATAAACCTGGTCAAGAGGATGGAAGAGGACATCAGCTCGGTGGCCAGTGACTTCATTCTCTTGAAATCCCGAGTTTATGCCCTGCTGCAGGGGAGCTTAGAAGAGAAAAGTCTTCACGTAGCATGCATTTCATCGGCATTTACAGAGAAGGCGCACTGGGGCTGGCAGCGAACCCACGGCCACCAAGATGAATACGGCGGGTGCTCTCTGTCCTCCAAGAGCTCATTTTTTTTTTGAGGAAGGAGGAGCAGAGAAGAAAAGCAGACACGATTATAAATGACAAGCTGCCAGTACAGAACAGGGGATAATACAGGGAGCGACTGCGCGAGGAGCCGCGGAGAAGGGGGCGGTGGGTCCCAGAGAGCAGGGGGCATGCTACCTGAAAAGCAGGGATGGAAGAGGGGAGCTGAGCGGAAGTGCTGATTGGGGAGGAAGCGAGTGCATTTGTAGGGGGAGGTGAGGAGGGAAGGCAGCAGGGCGGACATGGGGCGCTGCCCAGAACACACCCATTCTTCATCTCCCCCTTAGGAGAATCCTGGTTCTTAGTGAGAATTGCCACCTGGAAGAAAATGTGCACTTCCCACCTCCCCGGAAGCTGGGAGGCCAGGTGACAAAGTTCTGGCCAATGAACTTTAAGCAGAGATGTCACGTGGGGCCTGAGTGACGGGCTCATTAACATAGGGGGAGGAGCCCTTCTTTCAGCTCTCCTCCCGCCTGGAACCCAGATGATGGTGTGGCTCCAGCCCTCCAGGACCTTGAGGTGACCTTGAAGATGGATGCCACGGGCAGCCTGGGTCCCGGATCAAACCGTGCTGCTGCTGTACAAACCCAGGCCCGCCGAAGGACTCCACCTTCCCTGTAAAAGCCCTGTCACTTTCAGCCCTGTGATATGCAGCCACTCTGAACCCCGGCTGAGGTGGGTGGAGAACTGGGAGTTTAAAGCAGGGACGGGGGATTTGATGGGCTTGGGGCAGGGGGTGGCCTCTGTGGGGGTTATAACGGGGAAGGGGCAGTAAAGTGCCGAGGAGGCTTTCTTTGTCAGGCAGCATGCAAGCACGCATGGGCAGGTAAGACGGGGGCTTGAAGAGAGCTGTACAAGTCTGGAGAGGAGGTGGGGCCGGAGGGCACGGCCCAGGGACGTGCGCGGGGACTTCCGAGGCCCAGAGAGCTGTGCATTTTCTCGAAGCTGCTCAGCAGCCAGGGCCAGAGAGGGGAAAGCATACAGGGAAGGGGAAGGGAAGCCCCAAGGGGGTGATACGCTGGCAGGAGGTGAGGAAAGAAAGAATTGGGGGACTCCAGGGAGTCAGAAGCAAAGCAAATGGGACAGAACAGGAAAAGGAAGGTGCTCAAAGCACAAGACGGGAATGGGGGTGGGGACCTCCAGCCTCAGAAGCAGGCCTGGTTTCCACAGGACAGGCCCGTGGCTGCTGGGGGTGGGGCGGCATGGGGCGGCTCCGGCCAGGGGCCAAGAGAGGGCTCCAAGAGCCAAGGAGGCCAGGGTGCAAGAAGGGCCCCAGAGATGGACAGCAGCTGTGCAGTTCCCACAGTGGAGAGGGCAACCGTGGGTGACGAACTCGCGTCCTCGGTGGACTGAAGTCGGGAAGAAGCGGAGAGCTCGCGACAGGTGGTTTCACTGGCCTTCTCGCCCTCGGAAAGCTACACGGAGCAAGGACGAGGCAGAGCAAGGCTACTTCTCAGAGTCCACGTGTAATCAGAGACCCTGAGGTCAAGTAACGACTCCAGGTGCCATACACTAGGCCCCACGCTGCGAACACGCTTGGGTGCGGCAAGGTGGCCGTGGCCTCGGCTGGGTACGCAAGCGAGAAAGGCCCTTTGTGCAGAGAGGCTACTTCGAGGGAAAGGGGGGTCCCGGGCGTGGCTCTGGGCGTCTCATCTCTGCCCCCGCCTCTGAATCGGGCTCTGGAGCCACAAAAGAGCAGAAGCTGTCACACGAGCCAGACATGAGCTTGCTTTAGAGCTTCAGTTCTGGCGAGCCTCCTCACCCCTCTGGGCCTCAGTTTCCTCACTGGTAAACTGAGAACACGGACCCCAGGGAGCTGATGAAAGGATCGAGTGGGAGAAGGAAAAAGGGTTCTCGGGGTGTCTTACTTCCCCTTTCTTCAAGGCCGACCTTACAATTACGTGCAAACCTTGGTTCATTCCCCATCGTTCAGTCCCGCTCCAGATGCACACCGGAGACGCCCTCAGAAGACAAGACTCAGGCTTCCATGCTCACCAGTCACGGTGAGGACTAAGTCTCGCCTACAGATTTAGTTCTATGGGCTTCTCCCTTTAGCAAACTCAGAAACCCTTCAAGGAGCTTACAGACTAGTTAGGGAGATAATAATGCACGGAAAATGTCAACGAGGATAAAGCGGTATCTAATGAGACAGGTCTCTGAATGGCACCAACTATACACTTCTCCGGAGTTCATACGGGAAAAGCATCAAGTAGAAGACAGTGGGATTGGACTGCAGACCAGAAGGACAGAAGGACTCCAGGAGGAGAAAGAGCATAAGCCAAGGTACAGACGCAGGAGGGGGTGAAAATGTGCCAAGAACCTTGGGAAGACCCACCTAAAAGCAAAGGGGAGGTATGGGGAATGAAAGCCACATTCAAAAGGAAGCACAAGTCTGATCATAGTGAGTCAAAATGCATACATAATGACAAAAAAAATGACCTATGTAACGTGCAGCAGGGACATTGGGATGAAGGGGGAGGGGGGAGGCACATGTGGGAGGAGCAGCCCCGGGGGCCGGGGCGCGGGGGCGGGGGGTCACATAGGTGGGGAGGAGTTGGAGGGTCTTGTTAGTGCTGCTAACATGTCACCACGCCCATGAGCCAAGGTGGGTCCCCCATGACAGGAACATGACCCCCTCTTGAAACTCACAGTCTATTCAACAGCAAAGAGCATGCGCATTTTCTCTCGGATGACAGGCCAAGGTGTGGAAAGGGATGCTGGGGCTGGGATGGCAGGTGCCTCTAGAAAGTAATCCAGAACTGACCAAGAGAGCGGTCTGTGTTTGGGTGAGAAACGAGGAAGTGGTAACAGAGGAGAAAGCCCTCAGGCTGCTGCCTAGCCTCCCATCAGGGCAGGGTCCATACTGACTCTGCAAAGGTCACCCTGGCTGACTTACCACATTCCTGGGGCCAGTCCAGGTGCATTCCACTGCAGTCTGATTGATGGCCTTGGCTTTGAGGCTAGGAGCAGGTGGGCGGACTCCTTTGGTCATGACATGCTCGAACGCCAGAGGGCTATCCCCTAAATCAGTCTTGGCCCAGGCAGAAATCTCATAAGATGTATGAGCGGTCAGATTGGTAACTGAAAACAGGGACAAGAAGACGTCAGGAGGGAGCTGGAGGTATCAGTCAAGAATCTGTGTCTTGACAAACCAAGAAAGAGACGCTTGACTACAGAGAACATACCGACATCACCAGAGGGGAGGTAGGGGGGTGCTGGGTGAAACAGGTGACAGGCATTAAGAGCACACTTATTGTCGTAAGCACTGCGTAACGCACAGAAGTGCTGAATCACCATATTGTACGCCTGAAACTAATATAACACTGGATGTTAATGACACTGGAATTAAAATTAAAAATCTCCTTAAAAAAAAAAAGAATTTGTTACTTGGTATACAACAACCTATTTTTTAAGCATTTTAAAAAAAATCTCTACCCAGTGTGGGGCTCAAACTCATGACCCTGAGATCAAGAGTCATATGCTGTTCCGACTGAGCCAGCCAGGTGCCCCGATACCCTATTTTTTTAAGGCAATCTCTCGGTTTAAGTGAGCCCCACATGCTGTAGGATTTTCATCATTTTGCAAGTTCATCCCAGCGTTAGTTACTGATGACTCCTACAAATAACACACTTGCATGGGTGCTAGGTAGTTTCTTTAAAGCTGACCATCTGAGGGGCGCCTGGGTGGCTCAGTCGGTTGAGCGTCTGACTTCAGCCCAGGTCATGATCTCGTGGTTGGTGGGTTCGGGCCCCACATCGGGCCC